TAACTTTTACTGTAAATGGGATCTTTGAACTTAATGCTTTTCCAAACTAATGGTTTTACGTGATGGGGATGGCATGAGGGCAGCCTGCCAGTTAGCCATGATTACTTTTAGTGCACATTCAGCCTTTATTTACTATTTTCATTTTATCAGTGATTTTGGTTACCTCTTAATTCATTACAGTCAGTTCAGTATTGTTCAATGTTTAGACTAGCAAGACTATTAGTACTAATACTAATCACTATTAGAACTAGTTAATATTTTTCTATTTCTAGATTTGTCAGTCCTTCTGGACCTATGATTTGTGCTTACTTGGAATTTTCTGCCTCAGAAAGTCTAGTCCTTAGCTCAGAAATATGGTGAAATGGTTCCTGTGTCACCCAATTTTCCAGCTCACTGTCCTGTGTCACCTAACGGCTGACTACAGTGGCATCGTCTTTCTCCCTGGCTGCATTCAGAACAGCTGCTGGCTGGCTCTTCTCATGACTTTTCCTGATAGTGTAAGTTGGAACAGGAAGCTGTTGTTTGCAGCCAGGTGGTGTGGGCACTGCTCACTGAAATTTTTTGTCCAAGTGGTGCCTTGTTCTGTGCTGTTATTCTAACAGGTGTTTCCTGTGCTTCTCCATTCAGCTTTTATGTCAGGTTTTTAAAGCCTTTCGTTCATGGTATTTACCTCATATCTGCTTCATTCAGTAGGAGGAGAAATCCAGTGGGAGCTTGAGCTTTTCTGGTAGGAAATTCATCTGCCTCGACTTGAGCAGGGTCCTCTGGTGCTTTCCTGAACGCCCACTAGTAATTAATATATAAATTAAGTCCTCCTGCGCAGGCTAGCCTCATCTCCTCTGCCAGCCCATCTGGCTCTCCCTCTGTGCTTCGTTACCAAGGTGTTACCCACAGAAGAATAGGCATCAGAATCTCATCTCACTGTGTCCTTTGTTCAGGCATGGGAGGAAGAAGTCCCCACATTGGGCCAGTGGTAGTCCATGATTTAGAGAGCCACTCATTCTGGTTTTTCTCGCATTTTGGATATCTTAGGGAAGTTTAGCTCTTGTGGACTGGGAACAGGGTCAGGAGATGACCTTTCAGAGACATTTCCTTCTGTCCTCACAATTATAGGGCCTATTTTGAGTAAGTTGTGATGGACAAAACCAACTTCATGCTGACAGTTAATAACCATTCCTGACAGCCATGTATGTGTATATCTGTCCATGTGGTTTGTAATGACTGCTCTTTTAGAGTAGATTGCTAGAACTTTCTTTGGATTTTAGAGGCTGCAGGTCTATACCAGAATGCTCACTTTTTTCCTGCAGAATTGCTGGGGGGTTTTCCAACATGTACCCACTCTGTTACCAGGACACCTTAACATCAGTAATAGGTGCTACCTTCTATGTGTCATGGTCTGTAGAGAGAAACCTTGCACATTGTTTTGACTGCCAGACCATATTTATTAATAGATTGCTTTGTATTCGGGGAAGAAAGAGGAATGGATTTGCCCCAGTCTCCCTCTCTGTGTCTCATTCTCCTTGTCATTGCTCTTTGTCATTCTTCTTGACCTTCTGTTTGGTATAAGTTGCCCAGAAGGAAATTGCCCATTATTCCAGTTGTTCTTGAATTGATAATAACTACAGCCTTTCCTGGGTGTGTCAGAGTCTAATTGTGCTCCATAGAGTTTGGGATTTTTTTCACCCTATAGGATTTTTAAGGACTGATTTTGTGGTAGATTGCCAGCCCTTTATTCCACAGCACCTCTGGGTAGACTCAGACCTTTCATTTAGCCACTGAGCACATTAACTGCACTCTCTGGGAACTCTTCTCTATGCCTAGTTGGTGCCTCAACTAGGATTGAGCACTGCTAACACTGGCCTGTATTCCTCCTTGACTCTGCACTGCTGCTGCTGAAATAGAAGTCTCATTTCACATGGCGAATACTGCCATATGCCCCTGAATGTATGCTATGAAGGCCTCTTTGAGGGGGTACTAGACAGCAGTGTCCCTGGCCTGCTGTCCTGAGATTGAGTGCAGCCTTCTGGTGTCTGCAGGCTCGTGGCAGCCAACAGCTCTCTGCTGCCTCCTGCTGCTGAGGCTGAGGAGAGTAAAGAATGCTTTCTGACAGATAAAGGCAACAGAGAGTGAAATCTGTGAACATAACTTTTTAACGATCTCAGACTTTCAAGGGGCACTCTATTCTTGACTATGACACTTTATTCTTTGGTTTGGGTGGGTTTTGGGGTGTTGTTTTTTTTTTTTAATATTGCAGTTGTAGATTAACTCATACTGTTGCTGGTCGGTGTTGATTTTGAGATTTTAATACTTTAAAATCTACTGGTTGAGAATAGTGATGTTGTTTTTGTTTTTTTTTAAAAAAGGAATGTATTTTTCTTATCTCTGGTTAAAGGGAATGCATGATTTCCCCCATCTTTTAAAGTAGTCTACCTTCTCACCTCCCCCTCCCCCTTGGAACAGCTACGCATAATGCTGGTCCAAGTTGCTCTTTGTAATAACCATATTGTCCATGTGTCCGTTCTTGCCCCTGACCGTTTACCGTATTCATTGTGTGCATATTTATTTCTGTTCTGTCTCCCCTCTGCACTTTCCCCAATCATCCTCCCCCACTCACCCTCGTATTTCCCAATATTGGGGTTTTGCAGTATTTGTCTTTTTTTGTGACTGAGTTAATTCACTCAGCATAATGACTTCTGGATTTGCCCATGTTGTGTAGTATGTCACAAATTCTTCACTATTCTTTAGTGCTGCGTAATATCACAGTCACTTGTTATGCATCAGAGTTGAGCAGTGACCAAGGAGGATAGAAGGAGAATTGTGGTGCTGGAGAAGAGTATTGAGAATATGATGGACTGCTAAGAAAACAAACAAATTCATCCTGGAAATGGTTAAAACGGGTGGCTCTTTGGAGACAAAGATTCTGAGGCTCCGTCTAACATACTTTGGACATGTTGTGAGGAGAGACTGGTCCTTGGAAAAGGACATAATGCTTGGGAGGGTGGAGGGACAACGCAGGACGGGAAGGCCCTCTATGAGGTGGATTGATTCAGTGACTGGGGTAATTGGGATGGGTTTGTTGGAGGCAGTGCGATTGGCACAGGACAGAGCAGAGTTTAGGGCTGTTGTACATAGGGTCGCTATGAATCACAAGCGACTTGACGGCACATAACAACAACACAACAACAATATCCCGGTGTGTGAATGTACCAATTTCTCTGTTCAAGTAAAAATCTGTGCTTCACTTGTCCTAGTTTCTCACTTTTATTTCAATTGCCAGAAATTCTTTAGTATTTCACTAAATTATGTCTGCTGTGTCCATCAATTTTTTTCTTTTTTATACCCATCAGTTTTTTATGCTGGTCCCTTTACTTCTTCACATCCTCTGCCTTGTGAGACACTTGTAAACACTATGATGGAAGAAACTTTTTTATTTCTGTTGGTCAGATGCCTAGAATAATAGCTATTATAGATACTTGGTCAATGAATATGATGCTTCTTTAGGCAGAATATATTTAAATGAGAATAGGGATGGGCTTTACCTTGTTATTCTTTTAAAATTGCTGTTTCATTCCACTTTCTAATATTTCTTGTTCCAAAATTTGTTTAGCAGATCCTCAAGATAAAAAGAAGCATTGGATGTTTTCAGGGAACTTCTCAGTGTTAGACAATACTATGTGTTCTTCTGTTGCCTTTTTTACACTTCTTGGTCTGTCTGTGCACCAACTGCCTAAATGACTTAAAAAAAGAAATAATGATGGTTATTAAATTTTAATACTCATTGAACATACATGGTAATATGACTTGTAGTTTTAAAATTATTTTTTATCTGTATGAAGAATTTTAGTCCAGTATACAGAATTCTAGGAAAGCATTGACATTGTATTTATTATGTCTCAGGTGTTCTGTAAGTTGTTTTATTTTGCTTTTTTTTTTAAAAATGTAACTACATGATACTTCTGTTATGTTTTAGTACATTGTTGTATGTTGTCTGGATACTTTTAATATTTTCTTTCTATTTAAGGTAATTTTTTTCCCCTGAAGTATTAAAAATGTATGTATTTATGCCAAATGAGATGATCCTTGATCTTAATAACAGATTGGCTCTTAAAATAAAAAATATTACCAGTAATTACTGTTCTTTTTAAAACTCTGTATAGCACCAATTGTTCAACCGTTACACTAAATAAAAATGAAAGAGTAAAGGGCAGAGAAACCCGGTTACTGGAAAGGAAATAACCAGAATGGTATTAATGAGACTCTTGACACTTGAAAGGTATGACCAATGTCACAGGACAGTTTTTGACATATTCATTAAATATGAACCTAATTTGCTGAGTGAACTCTCACGCAAAACACAATGCAATATTATTTTAAAAACACATACGTATGATATTAAGAGCTCAAAACTACGGTGAGATACCACTCACTTCTACTAGGATGACTGAAGTAAGGAATATAGAGAATAAAAAAATGTTGATGAGGGTTTGGAGAAATTATAACCCTTATAGTTGTTTGAATGGAGTTCACCAAAGTTGGAGTTACCATGTCACCCGAAAGTTGCATTTCTAGGTCTGTACCCAAAAGAAATGAGAATAAATGTACAGATCCTCCTGAAATCAATATGATACTATTTATTCACATACGTGAAAAACTTGTTATGCAGATATACACACCAGCCACTAAAGCCAAAAATGAAGAAATTGAGGATTTCTCTGGTCACTTCTTATTATTATGTACTGTTGAGTTGGAACAGACTCATAGCTGACCCTCCAGTGGGTTTTTCAAGGCAGTAAATCACACAGGAGAAAATTGCCCATCTTTCTCTTGGGTTGCTTATGAGGAGGGGGACTGACTAGCTGTGGGGCTGGAGATGCGGGTAAGTTTTCATTCAATTGCCTTGCGTATCTTGCATTTTGTGCCTTGTGATTCTATTATCTGTTTTAGAAGGAAATGAAAGTTAATTAATAATTCTTATCCTCTTCTCCTTTTATGGCAAACAGGTCCTTCAAGGTTTAGATTATCTCCATAGTAAATGCAAGATTATCCATACTGACATAAAGCCGGAGAACATCTTGATGTGTGTGGACGATGCCTATGTGAGAAGAATGGCTGCCGAGGCCACTGAGTGGCAGAAAGCAGGTGCTCCTCCTCCTTCTGGGTCTGCAGGTGAGGGGGCTCAGTCGTCAACGTATTTCTCTTGTTTCAAGGGCATTGAGAGCTTCATGTTGAAGGCAATTGAATATAATGTGTATACATTAACTATAACGTGTATACATTTTGGAACTTAGCTTCTAAAACTGGTTAACAGCTATAATTTGAGCTCATTTGAGGACATCATACTTGGTAAAGTGGAAAGTCATTGGAATGCCTCAGGGAGGTGAATTGACTCATTGACTGCATACAGCAGCCAGCAGCAAGCTGAAACGCAGCAAAGTTGTGAGGAGTCTGGTGTTGGACCAGGTGTGTTGTGTTATGTTATGTTATGTTATGTTATGTTATACTATACACAGGGTCACTGAGTCAGAACCCACTTGAATAATTCCTACAGTGATTATATTGGAGACAGAAGATGCCTATTAATTATATTCTAATATTTTAATTACTTAACCCTTCCCTCTGTTATACTTTCAATTACATTCTTACCTGTTACTTCATCTATGTGTTGTTGTTGTTTGGTGCCGTTGAGTCGTAGACGACTCATAGCGACCCTATGAACGAAAGGCCTGAGCTGTTCATAGAGTTTCCGGAGACAAGCCATTTCGAAAGTGGATGCCACTCCTTCCAACATCTATCTGTAGTTGAACCTTTTTTTAAAAAAAAAATGTTTTTGATAGCCGGTATGAGATCATCAAGATTTATTTCCATTTTTCAGTTGTGTTCAAATGCTTTCTAGCCTCCAGTTTGCATGGATACATAAAGACAGCTTTAACTCCTTAGGGATTAGGGAAGAAAATAAAACAAAACTTCTGTATTGACTTTATGAGGTTTTTTTCCCATGTCCTTTAATTGTTACAGTGAAAAGTTGGCTTCATCCTTCTTTCACAATATTATTGTTGTGTACCATTGAATCAGAACTGACCCATAGCTGACCCTCCAGTGGCTTTTCAGAGGCAGTTAATTGCACGAGAGGAGATTGCCCATCCTTCGTTGGAGCAGCTGTGACTCATGGATTGCAGCTCAGCTTCTTGCCACTAGGCCAGTAGCTGTTGATTCATGTATTGTCAGAGTTCAAACAAAGGGTGAAAACTCCTGTGAATGACTGGTACTCTTCTGTCTCCTTCATTTCCATCACAGTGTTATTTAAATAGTGGAACCATAATTTGTTAAGTTGTTAATGATGACAGTCTCTGGTACCATGAATTCTAGAATAGCTTTTGAGTGTTCTTCTTTAGCTAGACAAAGCTTGCCAGGTAGATTGAAATAACAGAAGCATATTCTAACCTAACTTGGTCATTTCACAGATCTTTTAAAGGACTGCGTGACATTTATCAGCCATTTTCCATTTTCTTTAATTATCAGCTGGGGCTTTGGGATTAACTGTTTTTGAAGTGAATAAAAATGATATTTAATTTTAGATAAAAAAGGAACATGACTCACTATGAACAATTTTTGCCTTTTAAGTGTCAGTTGTTTGAGTTGGATAAACTTTTCTTTCTATGCTTCTAATTGGGAAGCTCTGATGTTTAACAGTTTTAAAATTTAGATAACCAACGATTAAAGGGCAATAATAATGACATTTAAAATTAAGCTATGTAACTATTTTACTCTAAATATTTTTTTGTTTCATTTTGTTTTAGTGAGTACAGCTCCACAACAAAAGCCTGTAAGTACTTGTACCTGTTCTGTTCACCTTCATGTCAAAAAGGGGCTGTCCATTACTTATCTTTTTAGAGTAGGTTATCATGTTGCTAGTTTTTATTTGCATTTATCTGAATTTTTTAGGGCAGTTGGCTTGAACATTATTTTTGCTCCTCAGTCTACTTTAAGTATTCTAATGTGCATAAACTTGAAAAGTGGAGGTGTTTTTAGTACTGTTCAGCCTTGCCCTGAGCAGCTTGTTTTGGTGACTGATTCTGTGACAGATTAGGAGTTCACATGACCACAACTGGGGGTAGACACACTAGCTTTTTGTTCCTTTCCTTTATTTCATGTGTACATTTCTTCCTCTCCCTCTCTCCTTTAGTTTATATTGGTTTGCAAATAAAATTCATATACATTGTGTTTCACACATCCCTACATTCACAGTTTGAAACACTCACATATTTTGTGTTTGAGAAAACTGATCACCATTCCATTAATCTGTGTGCACTATGACTCTGTATTTTCAGGACCCTGTTGGATCTTCCCTAATTCCTTCACCTACCCACCTCTGTCCCCATACTCCCAACTCACTGAACTCTGCTCTCCCAAGATTTTCCCTCCCCACCCTCTGCCCCACATGCACATTTCTTATGGTTGATGTAGTTCTGCCTGTTGACAACAGCTCAGTGTTAAGAGACCCAATCACAAACAGTGCAGTATACCTTTATGGTGGGCAGTAGTTATACACAGAGAGAGGGGCAGTGTTGTTACTTTGTATAAGGGCAGGAACATGAAGCACTGCTTCATATTTAACACGAAGGATATTTGAGTTTATTCCATTCTTTTTAATGTCAAAAAAGACTTCATGCATTTCAGCTGTATCTCTCCAAGGGCTGGACCTGATAGTTTAGCCAGCCTAAGGTCTTGTTCCTGGTCTTCCCATAGCCCTGAAAAACAAAGTGAACTTTACATCTGAGTTTGTGATTTTGACTGATTAGGACTTGGGAAGATCTATTTGTTGGTATTTGCAAAGCTGATGTCGTTTGAGCTTTTTTGCTGAGCTTTAAAAAGAAGCTGACTAACCTGTACTATTTTTTTAAACATGTTGTAGATAGGAAAAATATCTAAAAACAAAAAGAAAAAACTGAAAAAGAAGCAGAAGAGGCAGGCTGAGTTATTGGAAAAACGCCTGCAGGAAATAGAAGAATTGGAGCGAGAGGCGGAGAGGAAGATAATAGAAGAAAACATCACCTCAGCTGTACCTTCCAATGAGCAGGATGATGATTACCACCCAGAGGTGAAGCTAAAAACAGCCGGGTTAGAGGAGGCAGCCGAGGGAGAGGCCGAGAATGACAATGGTCAGTAAAATCTGGAGCCAGGGCTGCAGGGGCCCTGCGCGGCTTCATTCCTGGGGACCATAAGTCTCCACACTGACTGATCCTTTATGTTTTTTTCTCAAAGACTCTCCAGCACTTACTGGGTAGAATGAGAAAGTGATATTTTGTGAAAGGACTGTCAAAATACCTTTTTTTTTAAAGTGGGAAAATGAGAAGTACCAACTCTCTGCCAAGTAATGATTGTCATTCCTTCCTTTATTTTGTGATTAATCTTTTGCCTGACAGTATTACTGTAACAACAGATGGGCCTGAACATGGTGGAGACTGTGAGGATGGCGCAGGGTAGGGCTGGGCTTTGTTCTGTTCTTCATAGAGCCACTGTGAGTCTTAGTTTGATGGTGCTTAACTGCAGCAACCACAGTGTTGCATTTGTTTGTTGTTGATTGCCTTCGAGTTGAGCACAACTCATAGTGACCCTGTGAACAAATGGCCTGAAGCCCCTCTACAACTATGGACATTTAACTAAGTTCATCGAGTTTCCGGAGGTATGTTGTTTAGGAAGTAGATTCCACTCCTGCTGCCAAACCTGTCATAGTATTCTATTATTGTTTTGTGCCTTTGAGTCACCTGCAGTGTGATCTAAATATTATATATTAACACGGAGACCAGTTACATGGCAAGTAAAACCACAGCAAGTTGAGACAACGAATGCCCTAAAAATGACAAGAGTCAGGCACCTACCCCTAAGAAAAGCGGAAGGATGCCTGGTTCTTTTGTACCATACTAGGATCAAAGTGGTGATATGAATCTAGAAATTTTATGTCATGATCTTCAAGGCTTAGCAGTTGTTAGGCCATCCTCGTGTTAGCTCACTTTCATCAATGACCGGATATGGGAAAGAAGCTCTGTTAAGCTTTCTAGCTTGTGAGGTCCTTTATTGCTTCACCTCTGCTCTTCCAAATGTCATGACTATTAAAACATTGCTCAAATGTCACCTCCTCCAGGAAGTACCCTGCCACAATCCCTGTATTCCCAGCTGGCTGTACTTGGATGCTATCGCTTGAGTTTCCACTAGCTTTATTCATCTCCTTTCTCACCAGATAGTCCGCTTACGAAGGCTGAGAACACTCTGGGCTCATCTCTGTACCACCTGCCTATTGTGTTCTTCCTAATCCAGCCCTGAGGCTGCAGGCCATACACCTCACTAACTACACAGGGACAGGCAGGAGGACAGTTTGCTGAACTCAGGATGGACCTGGAGAAACTCTGGAGAATCCAGAAAGTCTATGTGAATTCTGATAAAATGGCAGTTGTCCACACCTTAGCCTGTTCGCGATGTGTTCTGCTTCATCTGCCACTGAGCTGATTGGCTGGGGAGATCCACTTGGGAAGTCAGCACCTCTCTGTAAAGCTTTTGTTTAGGTCCCACTGAGGCTCTGGCAGCAGTGCCCTGGCCTGCCACAAGCTCCAATCATTTGTTAGTAAAACTCACCTTGCTATTTTATCCCCTTGTCCACCCACATTCTTGGGCTACTCCAGATCTGCCTTCCCCATCCATCTGCCTTCCATTTCTTCTTGTAGATTTATAGAATGTGAGAAAGTCTCAGGTAGGGTTTTTTAAAAAACACAAACCAGACAGACATGTCTCCAGAATGAAGTGAATACATGCTTGGTAGAACTCGTAGACCTGTCTATGGCGGGACGCAGGGTGGTGACTCAGAGAAAGGTACATTACTATTACTGTGAATTTCATTTTTTTTTTAATTGTGTGTGTATGCTGTCAAATCAGATTTGACTGGTACAGGAGGAGTTTGTCCCTCCTCCTGTAGAGAGAGCATCAGGTGGGTTCAAACTGGTGCCTCTGGGTTTATAGTGCAGCATCTTGTCACTAGGCCACCAGATCTCCCTTAATACTGTGAATTTTAATAAAGAACAAAGTAGGGATCGTGGTCAAAAGCAAGCACAAACAAGGGATCCTGTCTTCCAAGGGAGACACTATCCAGATTAAAAATACCTATCACTACTCAAATATGTTCATTCACAGCTCTCTAAAATATATTCTCTCTCTGCTCTGAAGTCTATAGAGTGGCTATGACTCTATTTTCAGGGCTTGTCCAAATGTGTTTGTGTGTAGTGGTACAGCAGCCCTCTTGAGTTAATAAAATTACATACAAAACAAAGACGATGACTCACATTTAAAACACAGGAGAAAGCTAGCCAGGTTGTCGAGGACAGAGAAATGCTGGGAATTAAACAGAAGGCACATCATTTTTGACAGTCTAATTTTGCAATAAGAGGTTTTTTCAAGGGGAAATTAATCACTTAGTTTCTCCTTGTGAAATGAACAAGAGAAGCCCAAACAAATAATTCTGAACAATTTTACCAACTTTTTCTGGAGCTTGCATAGGAGAAGGGTAGAAATGGAACTGCATTTCTGTTTGGAAATTAATTCATTGTTACCCAAAAACCAACTCTTAAAAATTACAGTTCCATTATTAAAAAAAAGGGGGGGGAGTTTTAAAAAAACCTTAAATTTTACCCTGAGAGTCAAGAGGTGTCTGTTAATATTTCAACTAGGCTTGTTGGGAAATGACTTACTGAAGGAGAGAAACCCCTTAGTGCCGCTGTGTTCCGCATAGTAGCATATAAAAGTTCTAACTCTTCACCTGTCAACTTTTTAAGGTGATGCTGAGAACCAAGAAGAGAAGGAAGATGCTGAGAAAGAAAACATTGAGAAGGACGAAGATGATGTTGAGCAGGAACTTGCGAACATAGACCCTACATGGATAGAGTCACCCAAAACCAATGGTCATATTGAGAATGGCCCCTTCTTACTGGAACAGCAGCTGGATGATGAAGAGGACGATGAAGAAGAGTGCCCAAACCCTGAGGAATACAACCTTGATGAGCCAAACGCAGAAAGCGATTACACGTATAGCAGCTCCTATGAACAATTCAATGGTGAATTGCCAAATGGACGACATAAAATTGCCGAGTCACAGCTTCCAGAGTTTTCCACGTCACTGTTCTCGGGGCCCTTAGAACCCGTGGCCTGTGGCTCTGCACTTTCTGAGGGATCCCCACTAACCGAGCAAGAGGAAAGCAGCCCATCCCTTGACAGAAGCAGGACAGTTTCGGCCTCCAGTACTGGGGATTTGCCAAAAAGTAAGTGTCCGGCCCATCAACTGTGGGCTCTCACTGTCCCGGGTTCATGCTCTTGGTAGACGCTGGAAGTGGTAGAGCCCTGTCTGTCTTGTGAACAAGTAGTAGTACTTAAAATACACACTCCGGGTTTTCTTTTACTCTTTGCATATCAGATCCCGTTTCTGAGCTTTTGAAGCGTCTCGTTCTTTCTGTAATTAGTCCATGATATCATCCATTTGCAAAAACCTTTTCGTGTCCACCACTTATACCTTGTAACTTTCTCTAGAACATGTAGTTTAATTTTTGAAGGTGTGTGTGCCTCTTCTCCCCCTCCCCCCAAGTAAAGGAAAAATGTGTCTGGTTTGGTTGATACCATCTTTGGAGATGTTGAGATATTTTATTTTGTTAGTTGCTCCTGGTGATAGGGCTCTGCCATTGTCCTGAGGCCCATTAGCATATTGTAAATAATGTGACAACAATTTCAGTGTTAACAGTGGGTTGTAGATTGGATCTTGCCTTATCAACTTGTGGCTCTGAGTTCATTCATTCCTTTTGAGAGTTAATGGCATGTGGCATACCTCTGCCTGTGACATGCTAAGTGACCTCAATAAGCAGACGTTTTAGACATCACAGTTTACGTTCTGGCTCAGCCAGGGAAAGCTCAGAAACCTCCTCGGCTCCCTCTGCAGGCGGGAGTAGTGAGTGTGTAGGGAGTAAATTGATGAGCAAATCTGTAGAGCCAGGAAAGTCTGCATCATCTTTGGTTGTATCTGGCAGGTGCTGGCCTGAGTCCAGTTACGCATTGGCTGTAACAAGTCATCCTAATTGTGTGTTTTTAACTTGGCTAGACAAGTTTGTCTTCTGTTTATCTTTGCCCTGACCGGAGTGTTTTGGAAGGTGTTTATAAAGGGTTTACATGGAGAAGTTTAGATCTTTTCTCAGAAAGAACTGTGATAAAAAGCGCTCTGCTACTCTTGTCTTTGTTCAAGGCTGATGCCAATTGAGCCTCAGTCCACTTTAACCAAAGTGCATTTTAAATAATGCATATTTCACACACACACACACCCTCTCTAGATTCATTGTTGGTTTTTGCAACTCCAGTCTTGCCCAAAGTTTAAATTTTTATGCAGTATGATTTTTAAAGTGCCCTTTTTCATCATTTCCAAGTGGCTCCTTAGTGCAGTGGTATCAAGCATAATCTCGAGATGAAATCCCAGCTCAGATCTTAACACCAGTGAGTTCTTAACACCCCACCCCTCTCCTATAGACTAAGTTTCTTTCTCGTCAGAGGTAGGAAATGGCTACCTTTAGCATTGCTCTAGTGTCTTAGTGGTGAGAAGTTGCCCTGCCAGCCTAAGGCATATGGTTGGAATCCACCAGCTGCTCTCTTCAAGAAAAATAGACAGTCTCGTCTGGTGTAATGAGCTGCCACCGAAAATCCTCTGTGAGTCAATTATGAGTTAGTTCCCACTCAACAGTGTATAGTGACAGCAGCAGAAAGCATTGCATCAGAATGTATTAGAGTATGTTGTGATTTCTAATTGAATGTATACATAAGCCTTAGGAGGCAAGATCTTTACCTGATGTATAGGAACTGAGCTCAGACTAGTTAGGAGACTTGGGGAATAACTCATAGACTAAGTCTAGACAGACCTTTGGGCTCAAGTCCCAAAGCCACATCATGATTCACCTTAGGGAGTGAAGAAAGCTTGAAGTGTGGACCTGGAAATTTCTGTGGAGGGTGGTAAAAGGACATTTCCCAAATTCAGTGAAATGGAAAATTCCATTTAAGACAGATTATTAAATGGAGGACATACTGCTTAGATTAACATTGTAGCAGTTGGGTACAAGATTACACAAAGGGAGCTCCGGTGGTCCAGGGAGTTGCATGACTAGACCGAAGGCTGTGCCTGTGTGGCGCCTTGAGTCCACCAGCAGCTCTCCACAGAGGAGCAGTCTTCCTGCCGTGTGACTTTCCGCCTCAGAAACCCAGCAAAGGATCCACTCTGAGTCAGTTCTGACGTGATGGCAGTAAGAGAGCAGGTGGTCAGAGAGCTGTTCATGGCCCTTAACTGCTGTGAAGTCACTCTGACTGCCCACTCTGCCCCTTATCAGAGGAAAGGGGCTTGGGCTTGCTTGCAGACCCCCGCTCTTCACCCTGACCGGTTCCTCTCTCAGTCTTCCTGCAGCTTCTGTCACACTGTCCTCCTACTTTTCACGGCTCCTTCTCACTTTCAGACTTCATAAATACTGTTATAACTCTGGTCTCTGTTCTCAGCCCATCTTTCCCTTAGAATTCTGAGCTCTGCCCATGATTTCATCTGGCGGTGATGGGCAAACCCTCGTTCATTCACCATTCAGTAGCTGTTGAGCACCTGTTGTGCTGACCCCATGGTGGGGACTGAAGGTGAAGCCATAAGCAAAGCAGGAGTACCCTTGTCATATTCTAAGAGGGACAGACAATCTGTGATACACAGACCTCAGGAGATAGAACCCAGTCTGGGGAGAGATGTTGTTAGGGATTAATGTGAGTGCGTCTTCTCTCAGTCGTGTTGACGAGGTCGCATGGTCACAGAGCTGAGAAAGCCAGTGTCCAAGAAAAGCACGTGCCCACAGAGCAGGCTTCTCCTTAGCTCCCTAGTGCTCTTTGTCTGTCCAGGTGTCTGCCTGACCACTCCACCGTGGTGTCCAAAAGGAGCTTCACTTTCAGCATGTCAGAACCAGAACACAGCTTACCACGACAGCCTGCTGAAGGCTGTGCTTTTTGCCTTGTTACAGATACTTCTCTTGATTCCTGCTACATAGACCACCAAGCCCTCTTGGATGTACCTCCTAAATGAAGCACTCTCGCCTTGCCCCTGTATAGGGTACCTTGACCCTGTAGTGGACTGGTATAGTAGGCCTGCCTGACCCTACTGGAGTCTTCTGGGCTCTCTACGCCTCTAGCTGTCATGTTGAGCTAGATATATACATTGTCAGGATGCCGCCTTGTCCTGGTTTGAGCTTGATTTTCCTGGTTAAGATAGGATTAACCATTATCTCACTTGTAAATGTGTGATGGGTTTTATCCCCCCTTTTTTTGCCCTCACTAAGTGCCTGGTGTTAGTGATTTTCCTGGGCTGTCATTACTTCCCATAAATTCCTTGAGATCTGAGGACTTGCTCTCCTTCCAAGCCTGGTGAGCACTTGGAGTGGTTCTGTTTTAGACCTTACTCCTCACAGGATCAAACATCCTGGCTCCACAAGTCTGGGGAAATTGTCAAGTATGTATATGGTTTTATTTCTTTTTTAATTTGGGGGGTATTAGCTTTCAAGATTTACCGGTTTATTCACTTATATTGTGGCTTGGGTGAAAGTTGACAGAGCACACTTATTCTTAATGTGCTTTTGAGTTGCTTGTGACTCATAACAACCCTATGCACAACAGCCCTAAACCCTGATTTATCCCTTGCTAATCTTATTGTCTCTGGCATGCCTATCCTCATTACCCCAGTGACGGAATTGGTCTCATCGAGAGTCTTCCTCTCCTGTGCTGTCCCTCCACCCTTCCAAGCATGACATCCCTCTCCAGGGATGATCCTGGCTTGCATCATTTCCAAAGTATGTCAGACATAGCTTCAGAATCCTTGCCTCCAAGGAGCAGCCTGGCTTCACTCTTTCTAGGATGAACTTGTTTATTCTCCTAGCAGTCCATGGTATATTCAGTACTCTTCTCCAGCACCACAGCTCAAAGGCATCAACTCTCCTTTTGTCATCCCTACTCATTGTCCACCTTTCTGATGCATTGCAAGTAATTGTAAAGACTATGGCCTGTATCAGGTGCACCTTAGTCTCCAGACTGACATCATTGCTCCTCAGTACCTTTGAAAGGTCTCTGACATCAGACTTTCCCAATGCAATTCATCTTTTAATTTTCTGGCTGCTAGTACCAAGAGTGTTGATTGTAGAGCCAAGCAAACTGAAGCTGTCAACAATCTCAATCTCTTCATCGTCCATCATGCCAATCTGCCCAGTGGTGAGAATCCTTGTTTTCTTGATGTTGAGCTTCATATTGGAGGCTGCAGTCCTTGGCCCTCCACAGCAAGTGCTTCAGGTCCTCCTGAGTTTTAGCAAGCAGGGTTGTGTCATCTGCATAATGTAGGTTGTTGATGAGTCTACCTCCAATCCTGATGCCACACTTCTCCTTATAGAGCCCAGCCTCCCGGATAATCTGTTCCGCATATAGATTGAAAAGATAGGGAGATTGAACACATCTTTGACACACATCCTTCCCAATTTTGAACCATGCAGTGTTTCCTTGTTCTGTTCTGACGAGTGCCTCTTGGTCCAAGTATAAGTTTCGCATAAGCACAATCAAGTGTTCTGGGATTCCCGTTCTTCTCAGAGCCACCCACAGTTTGTTGAAATTCAAAATTCCTAAAGTCAAGAGATACTGAGACATTAGGAATCACAGAAGCCCAGAAAGATTGACATATAGGCCATCACATCAAGAGCTAGATAGGGGAGATTGTTGTTGAATGGAGTAGGTGGGAGTAGATGTAAATACTGTACTGGTGGAGCAGGGTAAGGGATGGCTCAAAACATACTTGGCAGGGGTGGGGACAACACAGAATCTATTGGCTTTTTGTACTGGGAAATATCTTTAATCTGTTCTTCTCTGTAAAATGCTTGTCTGTCAGATAATGTTCTAAATCTGAGCAATCTAAGACAGAGGAGGATGAAGGATTGGCCATCCACTTCTGAAATAGCAGGCCTTTCAAAACCCTATGTACAACAGAGCACACTAGTTTTTATTATTATATACAGTTTGTCCTCATTTTGTTCTGAGACATTACTTGTGATTCCTCACTGACACTCATACTGTCCAGGGTTCCAGTTTCCTGTCATCCTCCTTTCTTTCCCCTTCTGACTTCTCAGCTTTCCTTTTAGGTAGATTGTCCGTATGGTCTCATGTTTGTACCGAGGACAGTTCACTTTAAAGGCCTGTTTCTAGTTTGGGTGGAGTTCAGGCTCAAAGAGTGGCTAAGGACTTGACTATTCTCTAGCGGATCATTAACTCTAGACTTTTTTATGGTTCTTAAATTTTATTTTCCCTCTCAGGCTAGCTAGGGTTTTCCGTTGTGATCTGGTCTAAGTTATTGTCAGTAAAAGGCAGGCCCTGGTCTGTTCATTGTGCTTCACATTGGTCGGTGTGTCAGTCATTGGACTGTTTTCTTGAGTCTTTGACAGTCTACACTGTTCTGTGTTTGTTTTGCTCTACATGAAAGGAGACAAGTGTTGCATATTACATAGCTGCTTGTAAGTCATTCTTGGTCATCTTTCACCAAAGTGGAATGTAGCACATTGTATTTCTGGTTAGTTGTTCCCTAATTCTGTGACCCTAAGTTCCAAAGCTTCAGTTATGGTTTCTTTTGGTTGTTTTTTTGTGGGTTTTTTTTTTCTTTTTAGGTAAGTCATACTTCTTTAAAAAAAATTTTCTCTTAGTTTGCATTCAGTAATTGTGTTTATATTGTGTTTTATTCAGGCACATTGTTTTTAGCCCCTTCTGCACTTAGAACTCTAGGGAAGTAATTTGACACTGTAAATATCCATTTCTACAACAACTGTTGTCTAGGGATTTTTGTACCTGATTTTAATAACCCTCGCCTGAATCAGTGTATTGGTATTAGAAAATGTTGGTTTTCCAGTTCCTTCTTTGACATGTATTAGCTGACCTTCTCTTATAAAGAAGAGCTTCCTTTTTCTCCTTTTTTTTGGTTTGTTTTTTAATGATAAGCACGGCATGTGTAGAATTGATAAAGTGTGTACATATGGTGGGATATATGCTTACACACATTGTATTAAAGGGGTTAGTAATTCATATTACACACCTCCCTAGCTCATTTTCTAGAAATAATAGTGTGTGTAAATAAAACATATCTTTTCCTTTTTTTTTGGACTGTTTTTAATGTTTATCCTCTTGCTTAGAAAGTTTTCTCCATAGTTCTCATTTTTTGAAGATGCTTTATTTTGTCAGAATCAACTCAGATACAACATAATAACGCTCCAGGATGTTGTATTTCATTATTTCCCAGCCAGTCTCACTTCTCTTCCCTTCCTTTTTATTTTGGAGAGAAGCTTTCCCAGTGAGGAGAAAGAACTAAGATTGGTTCCTTAGGAGGGGCATAGTTTGAGGAGGCTTTCTGCTTCCCAGAGGAAAGTTGAATTTGCCCACTTTACTGGAAAAGAGGAGTGGTTTTTCCTATGTGTGAATGAGCTCTTTGACCGTGACAACCAGTTACTCAGCACAGGTGACTGTTTGACCAAGGAAAGACATGTTACTGTCGAGTCAGAACTGACTTATAGCTGACCCTCCAGAGCATTTCCAGAGGCAGTTTAATGGCACAGGACTTGACTATCTGTCTTTCTCCCACAGATCAGCTGGTGGATTTCAACTATATACCTTTGAGTTGCCAGTGCAACTCCTCACCACTAGGCTTCCAGAAACATAAAGATGCTGTTTTCTCTTACCTCCTGTTACCCGCATGCGCAACTCAATTATTGACATAAACCACTCATTAATGTATTTGGAATACGTTGTGAGCTGGGTGACTTACTTTGAAATTGAGGTAGTAGGATAATGTCATATCGTAAAAGACTTTTTTTTTTTTTCTGTTTTGTAAGTACAGGTTATTCAATGCAACGGAACCACATACAAAATATTAAATGAGGTGTCATTCACTCAGTAACATCCTTTTTTAAACTTTGTTTTCTCTGGCTTCATTGACTCATACAACTCAAGCTAGCTTTTAAAAACAACTGAGATTGGGTAGCAGGTTCCTAATTACTTCCTTCCAGAGGAATACTCTTGGATACCTTCCCAGCCAGCTCATTTTCTTTCTTTTTAAAATCTATGTGGTTTATTTTATTTTTGTTGTTAAAACTATATACAGCAAAATATACCTTAATCCAATAGCTTCTGTCCCATTTAATTTATTGACACACACTATACTAGAGTCGTACACCATTCTCACCATCTTCTCCTGACTTGTTCCTTCCTATAAAAATCAATTTATGACTTCCTAAGATTCCAGCCTAATTTTTCATGTTGTCATTGTCAGTTTTATCCCTCACAATCCCTAAAAGTGCCTAATCCCTAAAAGCAAACCTTTTCCATTAGTTAAATCTTTTGTTTGATCTTAAGACTCAAGAGGATGTTATTGGTTTGAGACTTTAAAGATTCTCTCAGGATGCTAGTTTCGAGGTTTATCCAGTCTCCATGACTCCAGGTGCTCTGAAGTTGAAATTCTGTTCTGCATATCCCCCTTTTCAATGAAGAGGTTGATACAGGCTCTTTAAATCAGAGTGTTCAGTAATGGTCACTGGACACCATCCAGTTCTGGTCTCCTGGCAGAAGAGGAAACCAGCCACCTATTCTTTCCTCCTATTTGTGATGTTCCTTCTTCCTCTCACTTCAAACAAAGACCACTTTTCGTCCCACTTGGGATGGGGACTCGCAAAACTTTAAGACACAAACTGAAGTCCAAGTCCTCTTGAGTTATTTGTGAAATTAGTGTGTTTCTGAGAACTGGTTTGTTTTGTCTCAGTTTTCTAGTTAGTTGCTTGCAGTTGTTCGTAATACTCTGTTCTATTTTTTAAAATTTCTGTTGGGCCAGTTATGATTTCTGCCCTGTCATTTCTTGTATTGGTTGTTTATATCTTTTGTCCGTTTTTCTTCATCCTAGCTAATTCTTTATTAATTTTATTGATCTTTTCAATGAGCCAGTTTCTGGTTTTGTTTATTTTCTTGATTGTTTTTCTGGAGGTTTTATTTTTTTATTCAAAATAATGAATTTTTATAGAGAAAAAGACAAATATTCCATGATCCAGGTTGTGTCATCGTTAGGCACCGTCAAGATGAAACGACCCATAGCTAACCCTCCAGCAGGTTTCAGAGGCAGTAGATCTACAGGAGTAGATTGTCCGTCATTCTCCCAAGGTGCAGTTGGTGGATTTGAACCATGTGCCTTTCAGATTGCAGCACAGCGTCTTACCACTAGGCTAGCAGATCCGGGGATTCTTGATTCAGGGGGGCAACACAGTGTCTTACATTCCTAACTTGGCAGCAAGCCTTGAATCCGAACTGCTTAGGGTAGAAGTTCCATTTCCCTTCTTGCCTCCTCTGCTCTCTGATGGTGACACTTTGACACCTTAATGATCAGCTAGAAGGCTCTGGTGCCCATAGGTGGTTCATCTGGGTACAGGCAGGAAAAGCCCCTGGACCTGGCTAAACATTAGCTGGATAATTAGGCAGGATGGTATCCTCGTCTTCATCCTTTCCAGAGACCTGTGTCTCAGAGTCATGTGCTAGAAACTTACAACTTAAATGTGTTAATTTAAATTTGTGTCTAGGTTTACAAACCTAAAATTATTTATTTTTCTTCCTGATTAATTCACATCAGCGATTCAACTAATTCTTTCTAGTGGTGCCTGCCTGTCTTATTTATCACGTTAGCATTTTTGTCTTACACTCAAGCTCTGGTTTCTGCCCCATTATCAGTGTGTCTGGTGCATCCTGTGTGCATGTGCTCCTTCTCAGCTCAGACTGGGCTGGTCTTTACAGAAGCCTCATAGGAAGGGACACTGCAGTCAGTGAACAAGAGGGGACACTTGTCTATGTCGGAGCAGAGTAAGTTGATCTACCAAGGAATACAACTGAAGGGTTAAAACCTTGAGTAGAAACAAAACAAAAGAAACAACCTTGAGTAGAATTTTTACAGCATCCCCTGGAGCCCTCCAGAGAGGTTGTATGGTCCCTGTAGCACTGGCACCTGGTCTCCTCACACCCCTTAGGCATTAGGCACACCTTGGTCTTACTCACTGGTCTGGGTCGGACCTGCAAAGGCACAAGAAGCGCCTCTTAATATCAGTATATCCAAAAGGGGGTTCCATCTGTTTTAGCAGTACCCAGCTTTGAGGCAACCAGACGATTCTTGCTGTTCTGCATTGAGCAGGCTTTCTGTTTAGTCTGTAAACACTATTTCAAAATGTCCTTCTAAAAGCCATGGTTACATTTCATATTCTCCAAAAGAGATGAGTTTGTAGAATAGTTTGTGGTTGATGATAAAAGTGCTGACTCACTTTGGGATTTAGTCAACGATGCACCAAGTGATTTCTCTTTGTTTCCTGGTTAACTGTGGCTGAAACAGACATGGTCTGGACTTCTGTGGGGAGGTCTTCCACATCCCACACCACCCCCCCGCCCTGAGCCCTGGAAACCTGATCCCACGCTGCTCTTGAGAGTGCCTAGGGTCCAGCCTATTGCCCCTGGCCTGGAGAGTAGACAAGTTGATGAGGGAACTCAAGACCTTTTCAGGACAGCTTTGGTCCAGAATCTTCCTTTGCCAAAGAAAATAGCTTATTAAATCTTTGTTTCTTGATGAACCACACTTAAACAAACCTGAGGTCTGTGTCCTTGACTCAAGGATAGGGAGTTGTAGGGGAGTGGGCCCGGGGACCGTGTAGTCACGTAGTGTGACATGAATACTTTATACTTAGATGTGACTGGCAGAGCAGCATCCTTTCCATCTTGTTCTCCCAGTGATGAAGTACCAGGTGCCTCTGAGCTCGGCTTAGGCCTCGAGGCTAACAAAATACAGGCAGAAAGCTCCGCAGGGCTGCCTTGTTCTCCAGCTAGCCTAGAGGTGGCGAAACTGGAGTGAAAAGAGAAAGGACACAACGGTCTGTGAGATCCTTGGGCAGCCTGAGCTCTTTTGTGTTAATATTTTCAATTATAGCATCAAGAACATTGAGTGCAATTGGATTCATTCCAGGCTCACATCCTTTTCTAGAAAAGGTGACTGTCCTTGCAAATAGGATGTTCACAGATGCATACCACCTGTCCCCATGACTAACCATCCTGCTGTTTGCTCATGCCAGCAAAAACTCGGGCAGCTGACTTGTTGGTGAATCCCCTGGATCCACGGAACGCAGATAAAATTAGAGTTAAAATTGCCGACCTGGGAAATGCTTGTTGGGTGGTAAGTACAGTTTTTTTTTTTAAAACATCTTATTCATGACCGTAGGTTAACAGACTCTGTCTTTTAAATATGTACGTTCCTCTGTGGTAATGCAGTCTGTTCCCTTTCAGCATAAACATTTCACTGAAGACATCCAGACACGTCAGTATAGATCCATAGAGGTTTTAATAGGAGCGGGTTACAGTACTCCTGCTGACATTTGGAGTACGGCTTGTATGGTAAGAACCGCCTTTGCCATTTTCTTCCATGTGACTGGGCACCGCCCTTTACTGCCTGATAGATAGTGCATGTGGGCTGACAATGTGAGAGTTTTCTGCTCTTGTTTTAGGAGTTGAAAAATTTCTTCTCGAGCATGTCCCAATTCTTTTGGTGTCTGTTTTGAGAAACTGAACTCTTCTTAAAACCCAACACAGCCCACAAATCAAACTTGTACCTACATCTGTGGTTTCTGCTCCATAACTGATTCCATATTTTCTTTCTGGTCACTGCTTGATTAGTTCAGCAACTTCCTTTTTAGAGTCTTTCCTTGGAAGTTCTTGTTCTGGAAAAGACGGGATGAGTGTTCGTGTGGTTTTGCGCCCACATTCATGTACACTCCTGTTGCTCAGGGTGATTTTTTCAGGCATGTTTTTCAGTTCATACTTTTTTTTTTAATCCAAATTCAACTCTGATATTTAAATATCAGATCAAGCATGTAAGAATTGGTACTTGTCTTCTTACTGCAAAAAAAAAAATCACAGAATAAAAACAGTAATTATAATCTTTTAGTCAAAGATTAATTTTGTGGGAGCTCTGGTGGCCTCGTGGCAAGATGCTGCACTGCAATCCCAGAGGTACACAGTTCAAATCCACCAGATGCTCTGCTGAAGAAGGAGGGGGCAATCTCCTCCTGTACCAGTCAGATCTGATTTGACGGTACACGTAAAAATAATACAATAAAAATTAAAAAAAAAAAAAATTAATTTTGTTATTTTTTCCAAGCTTACCCAATTTTAAATCTTCTGCTGCTAAAGTAAGGGGCCCAGGTGGTTGATTAAACATCCAGCTGTTAACTAAAAGTTTGGTAGTTCTAACCTACTAGCCACTCCTCAAGAGAAAAATGAGTCATCCTGCTTCTGTTAAAAATTGACAGCTTTGAGATGTGTTTGTAAACACATTAAGTAAAAAAGCGTCATGCTAAACATGGTGCTAGAAGGGACCGGGGGAAAATGGAGATCTTTTGTGTCTTCTAAGTTAGTACAGTCAATAAGGCAAATAGACCTGTAATATTTTGTGTCTCCATATTGTTCTTAGAGATAATGGCAAATCATAATTGGTAGATTTCAGTCTTTGAGTGGATATAAGACTGTGTTGCTCTCCTGTCTGGTATAGAGTGGTGATGTGATGGTCACTTTGAATTTGTGCCTCTCCCCGTGTGATATGAGGTGGCGCAGGCTGGACGCCCTGGGTGGCATATCCCAGGTCAGCAGAGAGGGAGGGCGCGCTTTGAACAGCCAGAACCATGGGCCAGAAGTGTACCCTTTTAGGCTGTGGGAGTCAGTTTTGACTTGTCCCCAGCAACACAAAGAGGTAAATCAGGGTTGCCCTGAATTAGACTCTTAAGAACTCTTTCAGCTCTGAAACGCTGTGCTTCTAATTTTGGGTGTTAAATGTTGGTGATATAACCAGAAAAATGGGACAAGATCACAGCTGCTGTGGAAGAACAGGGTAGCTGTCACTACAGTTTTGTGTCAGGTTACCTGTCTTGTCTCCCATTAGATAACAATTTGCTGCTCTACATAAACTCTGTCATACCAACTTCTTGAAATGCTATTGCTATGAACAGTCTCCCAAGGTGACACATTCACGCCATCTCTTTTTCAGGCTGGGGTTTAGTGCCCTCTCCCTCAGTGCTTCCCAGGCCACCTGTCAATTGTTTTATAGTTGGTATCATGAGAGTGGTTTTTCAGGACAAGCCTAAGCAATCATCCCCTCCCAGTACTGCCACAGCTGAGATAATCGCTTTGTCGGCCTGGGGAACCAGCCAAGATGAGGCCTTGCTCCTCTCAATCTGTAGCTCAGGCTCCTGCAGGTACAGCCTATCTTGTGGCTAATGTTTAAAATAAAAAGTCTGTTTCATTCTACCTCACAACGTAAGGTAATGAAGTGATGTTTGTAATAAAATGGACATGGTAAAGCTCAGTCCAACTAGCATCAGATTGTCAGAGACACACATGGAAAAGGGAAGTTGGCGT